TGAGGACAGTCATACTTTGGCGGTGTTGGATGTTGCTCTGAAAAGAGCCGCTAATACGACATCGTTCGGGTACGTCAAGAATCATATGAAAGTTGTGATTGATCAATAAAGAATTCGTCACTCTTAGATAGTAGGAGATTATGATCTGCGTTTCATTCAATTAAGTTAATGATCAAATCCTTGGCCAAGATGTACTCATAAGTCGAAAAGGAGTTTTCGACTTATATTGACTTAATAGTGGAGTGAAAGATATGATCGATGATCGAGATTGACACAACTCCATATCTCGTAATTGATCGGATCATATTGACGAAGGGATTATAGTTTCACAGTAAACGAACGAATTTGGTTTTGTCATACCACGTGACATTTCCCGTCACATGTATTGCCTTGACACATTGCTAGATGTCAATCAGGGACGGCGAATGTGAATTGACGATAAATTAAAAGGGTGTTTTAATTTATCAATTTTGATTAGATCAAAATAATATTTCGCGTTGTTAAGCATCGTGGTCGGGAACCTAATGGGTCACACACAAAAGAGAATTGGAAGATTGTAAATTGTCAATTGGTTAATTTAACAATCGTTGGATAAATTAATTAATTGGATTTGTTATTTATATTTTCGAATTAATTAATTGGATTAATTAATTCACGGACCGGGTTTAATTAATTGAATTAATTAATTATTGGACCGGACCGGACCGAGCCGAGCCTATTTGGGTTTATATAAATACATAACTAAGGTTTGAGGTCCATAAGGTTTTCATTATTCTTGCTGGCACAAGAAAAAACCCTAGAAGCTGCAATCTTATTCTCTGTGTGGATCACCGTTGGAGGCTGGACAATTGGACAGCTTTGGTGGCAAATCAAGGTTGATGGAACGAAAAGAAAAGCAAAAAGATTGCAGATCTGAAAAAGGTACAATCTTATCACAATTTCTATCTAAACACAAAGGCGATTCTTGATGGGAATCGAAAATTATTTTAAATTCCGCTGTGCATGTATAAGTCGATTCCCAATAGTGGTATCAGAGCCTACTTTGTGTTTGTTAGAAATTGATTTGCATATTATTGAAATCAAAAGTTGATTATTCATGTTTTATTGTTTCTAGCAATTGAAGATTTATTTTTGTGTTCAAAATTGTTTTGAATAAAAGAAAAATAATTTTGGATCGAAATATTTTTTTAACCAAAAAAAAAAAAAAAAGGAGGGTGGGGATGGCGGTGTCGGACACAGAAGCGACGGCGCACCGCCCGTGTCCGACTGCGCGCTGTGCGCTTGCTGCAGCTGGCAGCGGCAGTGACGCCGCTACAGAAGGAAGGCAACAGCGCCGCGCACCAGCGAAGCCGTCGCTGTTCTGTTGTCATTATGGGGCGGCGACGGTCGCCGCCCCCTAATATTTAAACAAAAAAAAAATTTTGATTTTAGGGTCTGTGAAAGTCGGTTTGGGTGAATTGGAGATGGGGGCTATTTTGCAATTAGTGTAATTGTGGGGGCCCGGGTGCAATTATATAAAAGGGGTCAATATGTAAATTTTTAAAGGAAGGGCTGTTGTGCAATTTTGTAATCTCAAGGGCCCTGTTGATAATTTGCCAAGGGGTCAGTTTGCAATATTTTAAAAGGGGACTTGTTCTGCAATTTTAAATTTTGGAAGGGTCCGATGTTAATTTCAAAATTGGGTCAATTTGCAAGTTTTCAAAATGGTTTTAAATTTCAATTTTGAAATGGTTTTAAAATTGATTTTAATTGGGTTCGACCCATAATTTTGATTTTGACCCAAATTAAAATTTTATTTAAAATTGACGACATTTTATATTTTCGTTAAAATTGAATTTTGACTTAAATATTAAACTTTGACCCTAAATTGAATTTTATTTTATTTA